TATTAGGCCTAGAGGGTTATAGATTAATTATATGAACCATTTTGGACCATAATTAACCTAATCTAGCCTAATAGGTCAGAAAAATCACATTTATACTTTTTTAGGGCCAAAAATCATCTAACCTAGCTATAATAAGGGCTTAAGGGCATAAAGCCCAAAAACCTCCTCTCACCCTCCCATTCTCGACCCAAGCCCAAAAGAAGAGGAGAGTTGACTTTGTGAGTGCCACCTCATGATTGTTCAAGGGACTTCCATGCAAGGAGACTCAAACATCCATGCAATCACATACTTCCATGACTAGCTAACTCTTTTCTCTCTCTCTCTCTCTCTCTCTTGCTCTCTGTAACGACCAAAAATTCCAACATAATTTAAACTTTTCAAAACAATTCATTTTAATAACATTATTACAAAAAGGTTTTCAATACATTATTTATCAGAGTATTCCCAAGTCCATTCCATATAACATAAACGCGAGGAACGGTACGATCACGCCTTTGCCTTGCCACAGTCTCCAGAAGAACCTGAAAAACATTAAACCACAACTGTAAGCCCGAAGGCTTAGTGAGATACCCCCAAAATACCAACCATGTATACGGCCTTCCAGGCCACGACCTTCTGGCCCATAAAATATCGCCTTCCGGCCAATAACATATTGCCTTCCGGGCCATAACATATTGCCTTCCGGCCGATAACATAAAAAGCATACATAACATAACAAAACATAGAACAGCCATGCATATCGGGTCAAACTCCAGTCTAAACAACCCTATGCACATAACATTCTATCATATAACAGTTCGCAGTCAACAAATCGATCAAGCAGATCACATAACATATCATTATCCTAACCAGGATACCGACCTAGCCGATCACGAGCATATATCACCCTACGTCTCAGTCGAAATACTACTTACACACATACGCCTTTCCAGGCCATGACCTTCCGGTCCACATACCGTAGAATGCCTTCCGGCCCATATCATAATGCCTTCCGGCCCACATCATAATGCCTTCCGGCCCATATCATAATACCATAATAGACAACTATCCGGATTTCCATCCGGTAAAGGGTCGGCCTTGGTGCCGTAGACCCTGTCGATATAGTGAGGATAACTCACCTCGAAACTGCCGGTTGAAAGGATAAGATCCCGCTGCTCCGAACTCTAACACGAACTCCTCCACTGAACACCAAAACACTCAACTCAATATATACCCTTAATTACCGAAATACCCCCGGAAGACAACTGGTCAACCTTGGACAAGGTCAAAGTCAACCCCCGACAGACTCTACTCGCCGAGTCAACCCAATGACTCGCCGAGTCTCCAAGCTCAGAACTTCCCTCAACCCGCAACCTAACTCGCCGAGTCACCCCGAGACTCGCCGAGTCCAACAACTCTGAGTCCACTCGCACCCAACTCACCGAGTCATCCCTTGACTGACTGATTCTCAACTCAACCAGAAAATATTGGGACTCTTCGACAAGACTCGCCGAGTCCAAGAATAGACTCGCCGAGTCTAAGGCTTTCTTCAACCTACTCGCCAAGTTGTTCATCCAACTCGTCGAGTTCCAGCTCATCTTCAAGCCACTCGTCGAGTCCACCCTCGTGATTCGCCAAGTACAACCGGTCTAAATCCAAACAGAAGTATTCCAGGCCATGCAATTGATCCAAAACATAGATCTAGCCTCCTACAACCCATCCATCATGTAAAGTGGCAAACTTTACGTGAATCCAAAGAGATGTAGGCCTTTTTACTCTAGGTTTTGGGGTTTGGGACAAGATAGCTCCATCAACAACACAAGAACAGGGAGTTTAATGCTCTCAAGACCTTCTCCACTCCAGATCTGAGGTAGCAATCTCCGATCTATCCTTCAAACTCAAGATGCCACAAATCTAAGCTTCCCACACAACCCAAAATGAAGAACCTAGAAGAACACATCCCAAGAATGAGATATTACCTCAAAAGAATGCCCCAACTGCAATAAAACTCGAATGCAAGCAAATCCCTTTGATCCAAGCCTCTTCTCCTTTAAGATTTCTTCAACACACACCTCCCCAAGCTCCAAATGCACTCCAATCTTTCACAAACACGATTTCTAGGGTTTCTGGACTTCAAGGGGGATCAAAGAGGCTGGGGAGGGGACATATTGTTCTTTAAATAAGGCTTATTCCCCGGATTTAGGGTTTTCTCCACTCAGCACCTACTCGCCGAGTCCATCTTTGGACTCGCCAAGTAGGCCAATTGACTCGCGACCAAAGTCGCGACCCCACTCGCCGAGTCCATCCATGGACTCGTCGAGTTGCCCTTCAAAATTTACACTTTTAGTCCTTCAACTTTACTCTTGCTATTCCGGGATGTTACACTCTCGGCCGAGTCCAAGCGCACGCGCACACACACACACACATTTCACTCCCCTTTCTCTCAAGGAAACTATCTCATATCTCATCCATATTTCAAGATCTAAGGAGGATTCAAGGGGATTTTTACACAAAAATCATCATCTAAGGTAAGAAATCTCTTAGATCCTTAAGCTAGCTACTTCATTTCATCCAACAATCACCTCTTAATTCATTCAAACTCATGATCTAGCACCTAAGAAGCATCCAAGTTCGAAATCTTCCAAGGAAGGTTGCTAAGGCCGAATTTCTTCTCATTTTCTTCCAAAAACCGAAACCACACCCAAAGGTGAGCTTCATACCCCCTATTTTTCGGTTTTTATAAGTTTTTGTGGGGGAGAATACAAGCAAATGTGTAGATCTATGAGTATATGTATGCCTTGTGTGATTTTTATGCTTACATGTATGATCTTATGTGATTATGATGTTTATACTAGTCAAAAGAACTTAAAAATCGAGATCTACAATAAGAAGAATGAAATAAGTATAACTTATACCATTTCACAGTAATCATGTCTAGAAAAATAACCTACTTGGTTAATATGAATATTTTTGAACTTAAAACCCATTTTTGGGCTCAAAATGCCAAAAATACAAAACTAAGGGGCCCAAAACGAAAAAATATAAATTCTGAAGGTTGAGATGAGTCTAAATAGTTTCCAATATGTATTTTCTGAATATCAACACTTTTGAAGGGTTAAAAATGTAAATTTTAAACATAATGGGCCAAAATGGGCTTTTCGGCCCAATGAAGCCCCAAATTGCGAGATTTTTGATTTGGAGGGGCTGAAACTGCACATTCCTTTAAAACAGGGGATTACTTGTGTACTAAAACTATTTCAATGGCCAAAAATGCTTTTCAAATTAAAAAGGGAGCAAAGATGCAAAAATTTTCCATCTTGGGCCAAAATTGGAAAAGTTACGAAAATGGAGGTTTCTACCGAGAAAATTTCATTTTTGAAGGAGTCAAGCTGTTTATCAAGTAAATTTGTGCTAAAAATGTCTTTCCAATAAGTTTTGATACTAAATTGTGAAGAAAAATAGTTTAAGGACTAAAATGGGAATTCTTTTATACACAAAGGGTTAGAAGTGTAAATTTTATCCAAGAAGGGGCTTAAAAAGATAAACTCTAATTCTTAAAACAACTATCCCCTTAAAATAAAAATACGAGTACTACCTCTACCGGCGATACGTAATAATAATTACACTTTCAACACCAATATCGTTAACAAACGAATTGATTCGGTCTCAAATCAATAATGAATCAAAAATCAATAAACAATGGTACTACAATACACACGCGGTAATTTACGAGAAGTCAATACACAATCTTTGGGCTCGAAAGTTTCAAATCGTGCTTGTTGGGCCTAGCTAGCCCAATGACATGATTTTTAGGCCCGAAGGGAACGCGCTTACATGTTATTGGGTCTTATATGACCTAATTCCGTGTAAAAGGACTTTCAATAGCTTTATTGTGTTGTTGGGCCCCAAGGGTCCTTTGGTACTGCTAGCAAAGTCGAGAAGTCAAATGTGAGTCGGGCCAAGTGCCTTTCGCATTCACGATTGCCTTGAACAACCTATGGAAATAATGGGGCCTTCGTACTCTCTTTTCTCCTCGGTTGTGGGGCTATGAGAAGTCAGGGTGGTTGGATTAAGTGAGTAGTATGGACGATGCCTAAGGGATCGTTTGTATTTGTTAGTTGTAAACTAGTCATTTTCATTAATGCGTGATTATAACGACTCACAATCCATGATTAATCCAATGTCACCTGGAATTATCGAAAACAACGTCGTATCGGAATAACACAAACTAAGCCACGTAATTTGATGTATTGGGAAAACATCGGGTTTTCCCTGGGGAATTCAACACGCTTAACTATGTGATGTATACAAAGTTTAACAATTGTTCACGTTTACAATAATCAACAAGCATACTTACGGATCTTCACACCTTTTTTTATGTACAACACTTTATTTTTTAGAAAATAGCGGATTTTATATGGTTTTCAAAACTATACAAATCATTTCTTTTCAAACCTTACTTATGAACTCACCAACATTTCATATGTTGACGTTTTTCCTAAATACTTGTATTCTCAGGTTACAGGTAAATCGAAGAAAAATGTATCGAGTGATGTCATAGTGTTTGTTTAATTAGTATCGAACGGTTTATGTTTTGGGAATGAAATGTTTTGAACAATGTGCTGAATGTAAACAATATCGGTTGTAGTATTTCAATGTATGGTGATGAATGATGTTATGATTCATGTATACTCATTGTGATGGTATTCAATTGAGTCACAAGAGCCCTCGGACGTTTCCACCGTTTGGTTCGGGGGTATGGCAATTATCATCAGAGACGGCTGGAGATGAGATAGGGGGTGGTTGAATTGATTTGGATTTCTTCTTCATCTTTGCAGATTTCTTGGATACATGATCAGAATGATTCCTCTTCTTTTTAGGAGGCAAAATAATTCCCTGGATGTTTATCTAATATGAGCATAGAGAAGCACTATTTTCATCCAACTTTGTAAGAATAGAATCTTGAATGATGACTGGTTGTGAAGAACCAAATTCAGCTACCGTACGTATCCGATATGACGTCATACACAAGAAATGTGGTTGTGGGTCTTCTGGAATCCATCCTGGTGCAAGATTACTATTACGGATGGCGTCATAAATAATGATTGACCACCAACCAGATGAATCAAAAACTTATTCTTTGATGCTGGGAGAAAATTAAGGAAATCTTCCCAAAGAATAGACGTGTAGTCAACATTGATGTCGTAGAAGAGCCCGTACATAAGAATCCAAAGGTCTGTTTTACCTTTGTTGCGTCCACCAACTGATCCGAATAGACATCTAGTGAGGACAGAACTGAGAAAGTGCCATGGTGTGGGAAGACAAGATTTCTGAATTCTTGAAAGACATGGTTCTTTTTTGTCTTGAAATTTATACCACATTTCCTTGAACATTGTCAATAATTGAGCAGAAGTTGGTGTGACAAATGTCTGAGGTGTAGGAGGAATATCGCTTAGACCTAAACTGACGGTGAACTCTTCTTTAGTGAGTACCAAAGTAGCTTGAAAAAGATTAAATTCAACATCAAGTTGTTTGTACCTTTCTCTTGTGGAGATGACTGCTGACTGAAAGACTTTAGTGATAAGAGATTGTGGAGTTGGAGAAGTAGAAAGAAGCGCATATGCCAACGGGCATTTATTTAGATACTCAACTATGACACCGACTTCTTTGGGTTGTTCCTGATTGTTGAGAAGTGCAGTATAGTTGGATGCAGCCATTTCAACTTTAGGTGATGATGAGTGTGTCTCAATTGAAGGTCTAGTGGAATGAGAGTGTTAAGCCTTATGAGAAGACTTTGCTTTAGAAGTCTGACCATGTTCTATGTCAGCCATGTCTTGAAAAAGAATAGAAAAGAACAATAAATAAATAAATAAATAAATAAAAGGAATTATTAGTTAAAGAAATATAGCTAAAAAGAATAACTTATAATCTCAACTAAAAGAGCGAAAAGGGGAGGGGGATTGAAATGTGTGAATTTGCATTTACTAAATCAAGTTGTGACTTGAGTAGTATTTTTGATTCAACTATGGACAGGAAGAATCAGCAAATTTATTTTTACTGAGTATAGGCTAGAAAGCAAATTACATGACAAGTTGGAATAAGAAAGAAAGAAATTGATGTCATATACAAAAAAAAATTGATGTTTCTATATCATAGAAAAAGTGCAAAGATCAAGTGAAATTGCTAAGTCATGGCCTATGATGACTATGGCACATCAAATGAAAAAGTCTTTAGAAACTAACATAAAATTAGATATCGTAGAGACAACAGATGACAAAAAAACATATGTTGATCCGAAAATAACTTATAACGAAATGAAACTGAAGATCATATAAGAGTAAGAGAAGAGAAATTACCTTAAAGAAGATGGGTGTAGGTAATGGACTTGTGAGTATGAAAAGCAAGATATGTACCAATAAGTATAATGCTCACAGGAAAGATTTGATCAAAGACTCAACACTAAATAACCTAAGCATGGTATGTGAAGATGAGTTAATGATCTAAAAGAAATTAAATAAAAATAAGAAAATGGAAAAAAAAATTACTCACTAAATATGATTGAAACAAGAGGAGATGTTCACTAAAAAGAAGTGATAAGCCAATACTAGGGGAACCTGACCGTAGGAACATATGTATAGACATGTCTTGTTGAATCAGTGAGTGACAGAGAGATAAGTCAACACAAATGAAACAGGTGATATGCAAATTAATGTTATGTCAAGAAAAAAAAACTTTTAAAAGGTGTACATCATGATCATCATAGAGTGTAAATAAAAGGAATGAACACGTACCTAGAGTGATCAAGGAATGTGGTGCTCAACATAAAATGATGAAAGACCGCGTGATGATAAACACTAAACACGTGACAATTCAATAGTCAATGTTAAGCTGACTATGATGTACAAAGAAAGGAATACACATGTAGCATATGATAATTCTCATGGGGGTGGATTTGTGATAACTAGGGTTTCACAAAAGAGTAGTGATGCTTACCTAGATTTTGAAGATGATCCACACAAGAGAGGTTGAATGATGATTCTCTAAGAAGTAGTTGATGATGATCCAAAAAAAACCTAGGGTTTGTACAAGACAAGGAGAAAAAAAAAGTTAAAAAATGATCTAGGGTAAAAAGAAAAACAATCGTGAATAAGGGTTTTCAAAAAAAAAAAAAAAGCTCACCTAGGGTTGTGATTGGCTCAAGAGATGATGATGAGATCAATTAATGTTGCTCCAAGACTATGATGCTCACTAGGGTTTCGAAACTTGAAGGTGGCTCAAATTAGGTTTCGAAATTTGAGGGTGGCTCAAGCAGGGTTTCAAAATTTGAGTATGGCTCAAGTAGGGTTTTGAAATTTGAGTCTTGATAAAGTAGGGTTTTGAAATTTGAGTATGGCTCAAGCAGGGTTTCAAAATTTGATTCTTGATCAAGTAGGGTTTCAAAATTTAAGTCTTTATCAAGTAGGGTTTCGAACTTGTTGATGATCAAGAGGAGTTTTGGCTCAAGAGTGGTGAATACTCTTGTTGATGATCACGAGATTGAGTGAATGATCAAGAGGATGGAGAAATGAGTATATATAGGACATGATAAGGGATTTGAATTTACTTGATGATCAAGATAAGATTTTTGATGATCAAGAGAGAATTTCGAAAATCGGGTTTTCTTAAGAAGGAATTTCGAATTTACTTGATGATCAAGATAAGGTTGTTGATGATTAAGAGTGAATTTCAAATGTAGGGTTAGGGTCAAGAAGGAATTCGAAATTGCTTGATGATCAAGATAAGGTTTTTGATGATCAAGATAGAATTTCAAAAATAAGGTTAGGGTCAAGAAGGAATTCGAAATGGCTTAATGATCAAGATAAGTTTGTTGATGATCAAGAGAAAATTTTGAAAATAGGGTTTGCTCAAGAAGGAATTTCGAATTTACTTGATGATCAAGATAAGGTTGTTGATGATCAAGAGTGAATTTCGAAATTACGGTTAGGGTCAAGAAGGAATTCGAAATTAGGGTTAGGGTCAAGAAGGTTTTCAAAATTTGCTTGATGGCTCAAGAGGGCATAAAAACCTTGTTGATCATGAATGGACCAAGAGGGAACAAAAACCTTGTTGATCATGAATGGTTCAAGAGGAAACAAAAAGCTTGTTGATCATGAATGGCTCAAGAGGGTTTTCGGTTTTTTTTTTTTTTTTTTTTTTTTTTTTTTTTTTTGTGATAAGTCAAGAGGACGTCTAAAATCTTGTTGAGGATCAAGAAGGAATTTCGAAATTAGGGTTTGACTCAAGAAGGGTTTTGAACTTACTTGATGAGCAAGAGAAGGTTGTTGAGGATCAAGAAGGAATTTTGAACTTAGGGTTTTGGCTCAAGAAGGGTTTCGAAATTACTTGATGCTCAAGAGGGGGGGGGGGGGGAGGGGGTGGGGGAAAAAATCCTTATTGATCACTAATGGGTCAAGAGTGGTTTTGAAATTAGTGATGGCTCAAGAAGGATTTCGAAAATAAGTAGTCCTTAAGAGGGCACAAGAAGTCCTTGTTGATCACTAATGGGTCAAGAGCACACAAGAAGTCCTTGTTGATCACAATTAGGGTTTGTTGAGCCAAACTAGGTTTTTGAGAAAAAAACTTGTGTCTCAAGAAGGGATTTTTGAAAGTAGGATCGTTGTTGAGCCAAATTAGGGTTTGCAACTTAAGAAGACTTATGGCTCAACATGGTTTTTCGAAAATAGGGAGGTAGTTGAGCCGAACCAGGGTTTGGCAACAAAAAACTTGTGGCTCAAGAGAGGTTTTTCGAAAATGGGTTTGTTGTTGAGCCAAACTTGCTATTGTGCCAAGGCTGCTTCTTGCTCACCAACTTTAGTTGCCTATTGCATACGTGGCTATTACTCACGACACCTTGTTGCTCCAAGCGAGTATGAAAGTAAGAATTTGTGAGAGTGAAAAAGCAAGAATGAGAATTAGAAGTGAGGTATTTATAGTTGAAGGGTTCTAGGGTTTCTTAATGGGCCGAAATAGGGATTGCATGGGCCAACATTTGGGTCCATAAGGCTTGGATGGTACTCAAGTATAAATAGGAGAATTTCAACTTGAGTCGCGAGCGCGAGAATGATGCCTTGAGAATGAAGAAAGAAAAGGTGGTGCATGCGTGGATGTTATCTTTGAGACGTGCATGGCGCCTAAGGAAATATCTACTCAAAACGTGCAAGACATACATGACACGTGCATGGCCTACTTGAAACATGCATGGCTCATTAAAACGTGTATGACCTATTAGAAACGTGCATGGCACATTTATTATGCTCTATATGCACTTAATGAGTCACATGGGCGTGATGCATGAAGTGGATGAAGATGCTTCAAGCTATTGATCATGTGCCAATGTTCTTGATCATGCTCCAATGTAGTTGAACATGATCCAACGTTTTTGAACATGCTCCAAAAAACTTACGATGCTCCAAGCAAGACCAAGTGATCAAGATCCTTTAAGTTGGTGAACTTGCTCCAAGATACTTCCAGTTGATCGAGATGATGAAGACGATCCAAGATGCCTCAAGATGATCAAGTTGATGAAGATGGTCCAACATGCCTCAAGATGGTCAAAATGATTAAGTTGATGAAGATGGTCCAACATGCTTCAAGATGGTTAAGATGATCAAGATTATCAAGTTGATGAAGATGGTCCAACAAGCCTCAAGATGGTCAAAATGATCAAGAAGATCAAGTTAGTGTTGTTGCTCCAAATTTGGTCCATGTTCCTGAAGCTGTTCCATGTTGGTCCAAGAGCACGAAGTTGCTTCAAGATGGTTCTTTAAGGCTTTTGATCTTGACCTTCTTCACAATATACAAGAATGCTCCATAAACCAAGACAAACACATATGGTTTTCTTAAAGAGGATGATCCATTCTCATAAGATGCTCCACTTGGCTAAGGATGTTCCATGATCAAGTAAGTGATGTTCTCTATCTTACTTAGCTGCTTCACCTAGAATCTAAGGCATGAGTTAAACAAAAACTATAAAGGTGAAAACACTAAATAATATAACTTTGTAAGTGATGTGTGTACACATGGATAGAGAATTTGAGAAGGGAATTGTAAAATGTAGTGAAGTGTGTGCATGTGGAAACAAGAACTTTACGTAAACACTAGTTGACTGAATTAGAGACATTGAGGGTTATCCTGCTGTTACTTGCAGATTTATCAAGCAACTAAATTCTATGTTTGATTCTTCACTTCGCATTGTAAAGAATTCCCTTGTGGATTATTAGGTTGTGAATTCCTTAACATCACATAGAATAACCTGATTTGTACTCACCGATTATGTCTCACCGCAATGCGTATATTTGTGTCTAAGGCCTAGTTACTTCCCACGCCCTAAATTCTGACAGTCCTCATAAACATTCCCCACTTATTTTGAACGACATTCATTTTTGGCATTCCTACCACCTATACCTTTTCATGTACTCCTTTTGTATCAAAAAGGTATCGCCAAATTCCAAATGACACAACTTTAAAAGAAAAAAAATAGTATATAGAATAGTTGACCTAAGAATACAACTAGATTTTTTTTTGATTTTGTTTGAATCTTTTCTTATAACTCTAGCTTTGACAAAGTACACAAACAAATAGCTCTTAAGTTTACTTCTATATGTACTTTAGTTCATGACTTTCTAAGAAATTCATTGGAGTGCTCGGAATCTCTTCGGTTAGTAAGGGAGTCCATGAC